AGCATTGTACTTTGCAGCACTTAATTTTAAAACCTTTCCATTAATTTTAATGGTTTCTTAAATAACTAAAAGTCTGATGAAGCAGGGGAACTGGTGGGCCCAAAGGAAGGAATATGATCCAGAACATAGCACAGAAGCGTTGCTTGAGCAGAATCCGTAAGATTATCTTGGACACTACACATCCCCTTCACGACCTGTTTTCCTTGTTACCTTCATGGTATCCACAGCAGAACATCCAGATTCAGCCATAGTTTCATTCCATACAGCATTAACCTTGTGAACTCTCAAGCTTCCTCCTTCCGTTATATATTCAAGAGGGACAGTATTTAATATTTATTTGCTATGTAGGGGTGTGGGTCTATACATATGTTGTACATAGTATGTTTAAGTGTGTGTCAAGTAGGTGTTTCACTTTGAGAGCGGGCAACTAAATTTCATTTTTGATGTGTGCCATTGTACCCACAGTAAAAAAATGACAATAAAGGTTATCTTATCTTACCTTACCTTACCTTACCTTACCTTACCTTATCTACTTCTAATATAAAATGTAGGTAGGCTGACAGCTAAATCAGACTCATATGAAGTAGGATTTAAACAGGTACAGGAAAAGATTTAAAAATGCACGGAGAAGCCAATGCTAAAGCTGATGAATGTCCTGCAATTTACATAACCACATCAGCACGGGAGAGGGTTTTTCTAAAGCAAGGCTATTTCCTTCCCTTCTTTAAAAATGCATCCACCGTTACCAAAAGAACACCAATTTCGTGCTTGATTCTTTTTAAACAAGAGAATGACTAATAATCTGTTTAAAAGAGGTGGTTGGGTGAATAATAGTAACCAAGAACTGGGATCTGATGTAAAAAGACCAAAGGCTGTATTATTACAGCCCTGTAATGGCTTTGATCCATGGGGGTGGTGCAGAGGAAGCAAGTTCCCTTATACTTTCTGGAACCTGGGAAACTCAAAGAGAAGAGCATTAAAACCAGGCATGCTGGTTGGGCTTTGCACCACCTGTTACTTTAATCAAGGTCTGGCAGCTGCACCCAATTATTCAAGCCTTCTTTATGTGCTCATTCACACTGGCGGGGGTTGGTTTGTGTGTGTTCCTTATCTTCTCACTCTGGTGTGTTTAAAGAAAGGAAAGACTGGAGGGAAAAGCCTTTCCTGCCTCTAATGCCCTTGCACAGCTATTCAAAAGGACAGACCCCATTTATCCATTGTTCTCTGAATGTGCTCCATCATTTTTTTAGCAGCCTGCAAAATAAGGTAATATTATAGGAGCGTATGCACACTTCCTATGACAGATGTTTCTGTAATATCTGTAATGTGTGGAGAAGCCAGCGGCACCAAGTGGCACCATAGTGGATGGATTCACAGATCACACACAGCTGTCACAGCTTGTAAATCATGACCTGTGGCTCAGTGTGAGGTGCGAATTCAATCAACCATAGTTTGTTCAACTAACATGATTAAGTAAAGCACAATTTATTGTGATATACTAGCCCAGTCCATAACACCTGTGATGAGATTTGAACCTCAAATGCTTTGGCAGGTTGTTCAGTCTTTTAAAAATTATATTCTCAGATCCAAGATTATGGCTTCTAGTGTAACTAAAAAAAAAATTAAATGATTGTTGGACAGTTAATCAATTAGATGCAATTAATATTATTTGTTCAGAATAAAAGTGGATTCATCAGCCTTTCTGAAAAGTCTGAATGGACAATTATATAGGGAAGTCTTTTGTCCTATTTCTGGAAATTAAGAGCAACCATTTTGACCAGTGGTCACTTTTTATCTTTGAAGGTTTATGTATTTATTATTGCTGTATTGCTATTATAAAAACTGGTGGCACAGTGGTTAGAGTGAAGTTAACTCTGCTCATGCTGGGAATTTGATTCTGACGAGCTCAAGGTTGACTCAGGGTTGGTAAAATGAGGACTCAAGATTGTTTGGGGCAATATATTGCCTGTGTAAACTGCTTAGAGAGGACTGTAAAGCACTATGAAGCAGTATATAAATCTAAGTGTGATTGCTATTGTTATTACAAGGGTGCCTGATGGTTTAGAAAAGCTGAACATGAAATCAGGAGTATTGGTTGAGGTCAAAAGATCAAGATGGCATCCACAACTGTTGGAATGAAGCTGTCAATGCTGCTAACATCGGATGCTCTTGCTAGAGTTAGTTGATGCTGGGAGGGGGGGATGTGGATGAGAGTCCAGTTAGTAATAACAATAACTCAGAGGAGGGAATCCAAGGTTACTGCCCCCAGAGTTGATAAAGATTTGGCTGGCTGGGGAGAAAGCGTGTTTCAAGCTAATTGGGGAATGTGATTTATGACTGTTAATTGGAGGAGGGAATTGTGCTTTGCTACTTTGTGCCCAGGGGAGGGGAATTCAGTCTTTGGGTTTAACTATGTAGTGCCGGATACTTTGTTTCTCGAATAAAAGATTCTTTAAGGTAAACAATGCCTCGAAGTTCTTTTGAAGAGTTTCATCTGTCGGAACCATGACAGAAGCCCCAACATCTTTCTACATGTCTTGTGTGAATGATGCACATAAAAAGGGATGAGGCTTTGATCAATCACAGCTATTATCTTGATTTCCTTGAGCTTCTGCTGACACCTTTGCAAAATCATAAAAACAAACCTCACATCCATGAATTCCATTTTCCCTCATTCTTCATTACAGCAGAGTAATTAAAAGCTCTGCAGGAGAGCTCTGTTTTCACAGCCCTTTGAGAAACAGTTATAGAGAGTGCAGTTCAAGTCTCTGGAAGTAAGGTGCTCCCTAGGGGGGACCATTTTCAAACATCCTCATTCTGGCTGAATAGACCAGATGGGTCAATTCCACTTGAAGTAGGCAGTCGTAAAGTAGAGTAAAGTAGAGTAGAGTAGAACAGAACAGAATAGAATAGAAGCTGGAAGGGACCGTGGTGGTCTTCTAGTCCAGCCCCTGCTCAAGCAGGAGAACCTATACCATCTCAGACAGGTGAATGTCTAGTCTCTTCTTTAAAATCTCCAGTGATGGAGCACCCATGATTTCTGGGGGTAAGCTGTTCCACTGGTTGATTGTCCTCACTGTCAGGAAGTTTCACCTTAATTCCAGGTTGTTTCTCTCTTTGATCAATTTCCAACCGTTGTTTCTCGTCCTTCCCTCTGGTGCTTTGGTGAACAACCTGGCCCCCTCTGCCTTGTGGCAGCCCCTCAGATACTGGAATACTGCTTCAAAGTGTTTGTCAGGTTTTAGGAAAAACACTCCCCCCCTCTTAATGGCTGGTAGCATTTTCCAGCATCACCAGACATCACTGAAGTGAATTAAAACATACTATCCTTATTACTCAATCCTAAAGAAAATCAACCTTGACTGTTCTTTGGAAGGACAGATACTGAAGCTGAAGCTCAAATACTTTGGCCACCTATTGAGAAGAGAGCAGCCATTGGAAAAGACCTTGGTATTGGGAAAGATTGAAGGCAAAAGGAGAAGGGGGATAGCAGAAGATGAGATGGTTAGATAGTATCATTGACGCAATGAACATGAATTTGGACAAAATCCAGAATACACCAGAGGATAAAGGGACCTGGCTTGCTATGCTTCACGGGGTCGGAAAGAGTTAGAGATGACTTAGTTGAACAATGAACAATAGTTAAGGTAGGTCCATACCATGTCAAAAAAAGTAGCATCTCTGGAGTTCAAATCTAATCTTGGAGAGAAAGCTTGAGTAACTCAAGAATATTGTGTTAATATAGAACACATTAAATCAATAAATGAAATACACAAGCTGTTGGAGACACTACAGTGAAGAACCTAGAATTCTGATGCAAAAAACAAAAAAAAAAAACCCTTTTTAACCACATATTGAAATGCTGCTTTCTGAAAGAAGGTTAGTATTATCCTATGTAGTTTTTAAACTATTGAACTTTAAAAGCATTACAATAAAAAAATTAAAAAGCATTGGTTATTTGCAACTATACACACACACAGTTATATATATATATAACACATATATATATGCAACTATACATTATATATACACACACATATGCATGCATGCATAAACACATATATAGACAGACACCACATATATACTCATACACACACATACATGATAGCCAGTTTATTAGAATAGTTAAAATACCAAGCTAGAAACTGTGAGAACAAGGGTTCTAATCTTGCCTTGGGTGACCTTGGCCTCTTTCTCTCAGCCCTAGGAAAGAGGCCATGGCAAACCAGTTCTGAAAATCTTACCAAGAAAACTGCAAGCATTAGTCCAGGCAGTCACCGTGAGTCAACACTGAGTGAAGGCAGAGAATAACTTAAATAGAAGAAATATTGGTAGTGTGTAATTTAATTTAAGGGGAGCAAATGAAAACCAGTCAGGCACAGAGACATGCTGATCCCATCCTAATCTATTTTTAAACCTGCATCTTGTAACTATATATGATACATTCAACCTGTGCAATTTCTTTTTAGCCTACAGTTTGCATATGCAATGTATATCCAGAAATATACATTAACAAAATTGGATATGCAATGTATATCCAGAAATATACATTAACAAAATTGTGTTAATTTTAGGTATCTTATATGACAACACATACAAAAGGCAAAGGATGTTTTCAAGGTTATTAATACATAACTACAGTTATTGAAATCCTAGTCATTGTTTACATAGGGTCAAAAGAGGATGTTGCTTCCCCCCCCCCCAATTACTTTTATCTGGCATTTGAGGAAAGATTTAACAATACTATTTTTGGATATTTTGGAATGTCCTGAAACTTTATGAAGATACTTTAAACCCTAAAGGAAAACCTAGATCATTTACCATAGATTATGTAATTGATAACAAGGATGGTTAACTGTAGTATATTTTAGTATGAGACTAGGAAAAAAAAACCCAGCCCTTCAAACTTCATTGTAACTAAACAGAGGAATCCCATTCAACTCTACAACAGACACGCAACCTTTCTGCTAAATGAAATGGTAAATGGAACACACACTTACTTTGGAACGGTGTTTGTGGAAGGGTATGTGTGGCTCGCTCTTTTGCTGTAGTACTCCTCTTTGACAAGTTGTAAATAATTCTCACTTGTAGCCAGGAAGGCTGAAAGTATCAATGTTGTTTTGCTGGGTGTGATCATATCACTGCATGTCCGTACAGGGTAGACTATTTAATCACTACACAGCAGGTAATCTTTCCCAAGGAGACCTTGATAAGATTCTTTAAGCCCATCCCTTTGTGTAACATCTTTTCTTATTCAATTTTTTTAAAAAGAAAGAAAGAAAGAAAGAAAGACTGTGAGGCATTATTAATTTTTTGACAAGTAATTTAATTCATAAACATGTTTTCCATATCTGCTTTCTTCAATAGCAATAAAAAATAAAATACATAAATTGTAAGCCATTAATTCCTTAAACATCTCTGGTTGCCTATGTTGGTCCTGACATTTTATTTAAAAATATTTGAAGTGGAGAGGGATCAATGGGGAAAACTGCTAATTAGTGAGAGGGACTTAATTGCTACCAGAGTACACTCATAAAGATTTAAAGAGATCAGCAGAGAAATCTGTGTGAGAGTTTGAAGATTCTGTTGAGACAATGCAGGGATAAGAAATAACTCTGAAAATGTATAGAGCAGTAAAATACAACAAATTTATTTATTTATTAGACTTTACAGTGTGCTGCCCAATGCACCTAGAGGCAACTTTGGGTGGCTGATGAACATTAAAAGCCAGTAAACATTAAAACAATAAATAACAATCATAATTTATTCTGACAGGCACCTGTCCTATAAATATTCAGACTTAACAATTGTTGATAAGAACAAACAAATCTGGATAATAGATTGCCAATACTGGAGAAAGCAGAACAGAAGAGAAAGAATTGGAGAGGATAACAAAATACAAAGACCTGCAAATAGAAATTGAATTAAATACTTTATTTGGCCAAGATCTCTAGATCAGATCTTGGAATGTCTGATGCTTCAAAGGGCAGGAGCCATATATATAAGCAAACATATGATATACAATCATAGTTTGACTGAGATTCATATACTTGAGGGAAGTTTGACCCCGAGATGGAGAACATCAAGGTTAGTTTTCCTAAAATAAGAAAATGGTATCTTGAGGTTGTGTAACCTTTTCTCCCAATCTTTCTCTCTGATGCTGTTATTAGCTTTGTTTGACAGGGCTGAAGAAATCTCTTGTACCTCATTCAATAAGGATGCCTGGAGGGGCCTTCCTTACCGGAAGGAATGTTTAAAATTAATTCTGAAACACATTGGCTTAGCTAGTCAGCAGAAATGAAAATAGCCTGTGACAACAAAGCAATGCATTTCTATGAATACATAATTGAAAGAACAGCCTCTCCAAAGGCTTACAAATTTAAAATCAGATTTTAATAGTCTACAGATTTCTGGAACTCGTATAAACAATATGTAAACCTTTATTGCCCTATCAATCTTGCAATAAAGTTACATAAACCATTTTCAATTTATGGAACCTTCACTTGGTTCACTGCAAAGCTAATTGAGCTTCCAACTGAGATGGTTATTGGGCAATTTTCCTGCCTCGTTAAAAGAACTTTAGAGGTATACATGATCCAGCTGATACTATGTCTTTTATCTGCATCCTTTCCTTAGCTCCCCCTTGGGTCTTCAGCCTTTATTCTTAACATATAGGCAGAAGAAGAAGAAAAAATCCATTAAAGAGAGAAAACTAGAAAAGCTGCACAATGCCTTTTATCTGTGGAACTGGGAGTTGTCCATCCAGAGGTATTCTGAGTACCATTTTGCAAAAGATATCTTGCTGTGCAGATAAAGCAGTGCCACAAAAGAGCTCTTTTATATGAAAAGGCACCAGCAATTGATATAATCACATTTAAAAGATTTTATCCTCTGCCTAAGCTTGAATAAAACAAAGGAATATATCATTGGTCTAAAAACAATTATTCGTGCACTGATAATTTCCCAGCAAGATTATTGGAATGTGTTATAGATGGAGTTGCCTTTGAAAATAGTATGGAAATTTCAGTTAGTTCAGTGGCTAGCCCAGGGGTAGGCAACCCTGGGTCTGGCTGGCTCAGGAATTCTGGGAGTTGAAGTCCATGAGTCATAAAAGATCCAAGGTTGCCTACCCCTGGGCTAGACTGACTGATAGGAACATATTACACAAGAACTATGTCAACTATACTGGCCTCCAGTCTTATTCTGAACCCTAACAATTTAGAGTGAGGCAAATTATGCTGCAGAATTTGGTAGATTTCCCAGTTATGAAGGGTCCTTGGTGCTCTCTGAACTTGCTTATTTTCTTGAAGACATTTCATTACCCAAACTAGGTAACATCATCAATGCTAGTCCTGATGATGTTACGTAGTTTGGATAATGAAACGTCTGCAAGGAAACAAGCAAGCTCAGAGAACACCAAGCACCCTTCATTTCAAATATTCTCCTTTATTTCCCAGCTAGTGGGGAAAGACATTTACGGGTTGCTCCTGCTGAAGTGGGTTGCTAGTCAGTGCTAAGATAGGAGGCAGGTTTTGAGATATTGCTAGAACAGCGGTTTAACCACTTGTCAGAAATGTTACAGTTCACTTTAGAGACATCCTGGTTAATCACTTTGTCTAGTAATTACTAGAGAAAAAAGTGGACTAAGCCCGCTTGCTAGAAGTACTCTGAGAAATTCCTTCCATTCTACTTCCAGCAAGCATGCTGTGGACTCTGTTGGTCAAGAAATTCCAGCTGGTGGGGTCCAGGAAAAGAGCCCTTTCTACCATGGCTCCTGCCCTTTGGAAATCCTGACCCTTGAGGTGAGATCCACCCCATCCTCTGGCCTTCTAGTTTTAAAACGTGGCTCTGCCAACTGGCCTGGGATTCTGATGGGGGCTTTCCAGTGGTGGGATTCAAATATGTGAACAACCAGTTCTCTGTGTGGATGCCGCTTCCAGAAGTCCATTCTGGGCCTGGGCAACAAAAAATTAGCTACCGGTTCTGCCATAGTGGTGCAAACTGGCTGAATCCCACCACTGGGGCTTTCCATCCTGGAGGTGATTAGTGGATTAAGAGAAGGGTCCACCTCAACTCTGATATTGCTTTCTTCCTTAGCTATCTTTGATTAAAATTATGTTAATATTTATCATTATGTTTTTAATGTTTTTTATACATCGTTTTTATTTTGTTATAAGCCAGCCACAATTGCTTCACATTGAGATGGGTGGCATATATATCAAATACAGGTAGTCCTTGACTTACAGCTATTTGCTTAGTGACCATTTGAAGTTACAACAGCACTGAACAAAAGTGGATTTTTCTCATAATCTCCCATCCATCTACACTGCTTTTCTTTTGAGTCACAGCCTGTGACTAGTTAAACTTCCTTCTAGGCTGCCACGACAGGATGCCTCCCTGTCAATTTAGATGGCGAAAGGACAAAGGGGGTCTGGTGGCTGATAGCCTGATGACAGCTTAAGAATATAAAATGACGAAGAATATAAAATAATGGAATCCTTCCAACAGGGAAAGTCCTCTTCAACTCCTAAAGGAGAGGGAGCAACAGCTAAAGCAGTTAAGTTCTGTAGGGAAGGAATCCCATTCATAAGAAAAGGTCCCAAATGATGTTTTCAACACCAAGTCAGCTAGGTGTAGGAAGTCAGCACCCCCCCCAGAGGAGGAAATATTTTGGGGGATATTGAAAAAAAGACAGAATATTATATTTTCCCAAAGAAATAATGGAGAAAAATCTTAGGCAGAAACTGAGCAGGCCAGCTTTTAGAAATGCAGATTTGATCATCATATTCAGGAAGACTAGGGGACAAGAAGGTTTGAGTTGATGGGATTAGAAAAAGACTCCAAGGACAAGAACATGACCTTTAGGACATAATAGGATTAACCCACGGGCCCCCAACCCCGGGTCCGTGGACCAGTACCAGGCCGTGGCATGCCAGCAACCAGTTCACACAAACAAGCAACGCCCCATCTGCAGGATGCAGGCAGCACACAAAACCACACCCCCTCCGGTCTGCAGAAAAACCTCTCTCCATGGAACTGGTCCCTGGTACCCAAAAGGTTAGGGACCTCTGGATTAACCCACCACCATTAGAATACCAAAAGGTAAGGTGACCAACCATCCTCCTTTTGGGAGGACAGTCCTCCTTTTGGGAGTTCTGTCCTCCCTCGAAAAGTGTCCTCCTAAATGTCCTCTTTTTCTATATTTGAAGACTAATCTGCAGGGCTTTTTTTCCCTCATAGAACGCTCAGAAGGCGTTCCGGGACCTTTTTTTGATGGTTTTTTTCAACTTTTGCATGAGCTGTGCTACTCCCCCTATTGGGTTTCAAAAGCCAATAGGAATTGCTGCTGAGCACGCCAAAACACCCGGGCAGCAAACTTTGCATGTGCAAGTTGCAGGAACTTTGCACCCTCACTGCTACCCAACTACACTATCTCCTACTTAGTTCCGAAGATAGCTGGAAGAGCGCTAAGTTTCTCTTGATCTTCCCTGTTCAGTTCTACACGGGGATGCACAGGGTAGGCAGTGGTGCTTTGCCTTTGCCAGCTGCGAGGCCGGCTCTATGTGGATGCGCAGGGTGGGCGATGGTGCTGGGGGGCGGCTGGGGGGGCAGCTGCAGGGCCGGAGCAGGCTTGGCTGGTGCTTTGTGAGCCATGGGGCCGGCTCTCCACGGCAGGGCAGTGGTGCTGGCGGGGTGGCTGTGGGCGGGGGCGCGGCAGGCAGTTGACCTTCCATGGGCCGCGCCAGCTAGTGGTCTATGCAGTGCTGACCTGCGCTGCCACTACCTCGCCCTGCGCACCTACATGGCCGTCCTGGAGCGCCTGGCTCACAACACCTGCCTCCGCCGCCCACTTCCACGCAGTCCAGCTGTGTAGATTTTTGGACAAGTGAGAAATCGAGATTGAATGTTGATACTCTAGCTGCAGCACTTGCCGTAAAATTCAATATGAACGATATTTCTTGTTCAGATATTTCCAATATATTGCTAGAAGATGATACATTGACAAAAAATATTCATTCAATGGAAAAGTACTCATTTAAATAATTAATAG